GCTATCAAGAGTGCAGTGACAGATGGCCTTGCGGCTATCAGAAGTGCAGAGATAGATGTGATTTGAGGCAAGTGCGTATGTTTTGGCAAAATGCAAAGTGTATATATTAAGGTCCTTAGTTCGCTGTGCTACCTCTAAGCCTATCTTGAATATTAGATCAAATATTCTACTGGATTCTTTACTGGATATATGTACCTTTTATGTGCTTGTGGATAGCCCTTTGCTGGATACTTCACTAGATACTTGGCTAACCCACGAAACCACAACTTGCGCGATCAGCCTGTCCATACCGGTACTACCGATATCTACCGGTTGGCTGAGGCTCGACGAAACGCTTCCTTTTTTTGCACCAGTAGACTGCACGACGAGGCGTATCTTCAACAACAGAGTGCACTACAAGGTGGTTCGTTTACACGTCAGTCTGCTCTTCACTTGTCACGCAGAGTATGTAACCGCATTGTATTGAACACTTGTTGTCATTAGAAACGGTTTGATTTAGCCATGGCTTATGCTTCCACACGCGGTGTCTAGCTAATTCTATCATACGTAAGCACGTAGTCAATTCTATTAAAGCGGTTAATGGGTATCACAGTTCTTGTCAGTGCGATGACAGTTTGTCTTCATTTATCACTGTGGGATTGCACTACAAGGCTACTTATTAACACATCAGCGTATGTAACGACATTGTATTGAAGACTTGTTGTCATTAGAAACGGTTGATTTAGCCATGGCTTATGCTTCAACCCGCGGTGTCTAGCTAACTCTATCATACATAAGCACGTCATCAATTCCAATAAAGCGGTTAATAGGTATCACAGTTCTTGTCAGTGTGATGACAGTTTATCTTCTGATAGAAGTGTTGAGCGAAGGGAGCTGTAGGGGAAGAGCTGACAGAAGAGACTTCAGTCGTAGAAGGAGAAATTTCAAAGTGAATATATTTTTGGTACTTAGTTCACAAACTAGTTGCTTCCTCTCAGCCAATCAGTGAACAACACATACACTACACATAAGACACCATACCAGTATTGTATCAGTTTCATACCAGTATCGTATCGTACTTACATGCGTTCGTATTGGATAGACGAGGAGAACAAACACACACCACAGTGTACTTGTAATCCGTAATAGTCCCCCTCAATGCGAACATGCGATGATGCCGAGTACCTTCGTTAAATCCTTGTGTCGTGGTCCTAATAGCGCTTTTGTCATCAGGTCGGCCAACTTAGCCGATGTCTCGCAGTACTTGAGCTTCACTTCACCACGTTTGACCTCATCACGAATAGGGTGATACTTTATGTCAATATGCTTGGCACGACCATGATTGACAGAGTTTTTTGTCATCTTGATGCACGACTGATCATCCTCAAAAATCATGAGGTCTGGTCCTTGTTGGCTGGCCGCTGCTAGGATCTCGCACAGTAAACGATGAATCCATTTTCCTTCTTGAACA